CACACACACACACACACACACACACACACACACACACACACACACACACACACACACACACACAACGGCCACTTTATAGGTACACCTTGCTAGTACCAGGTTGGACCCCCTTTTCCCTTCAGAACTGACAACGCTTCGTGGCATAGACTCAACAAGGTACTGGAAGCATTCCTCAGAGATTTTGGTCCATATTGACATGATGGCATCACACGGTTGCTCCAGATTTGTCGGCTGCACATCCATGATGCGAATCTCCCGTTCCACCACATCCCAAAGATGCTCTATTGGATTGAGATCTGGTAACTGTGGAGGCCATTCCAGTTTTATGAACTCGTTGTGTTTAAGAAATCCGTTTGAGATGATTCTCGCTTTATGACATGGAGCATTATCATGCTGGAAGTAGCCATCAGAAGATGGGTACACTGTGGTCATAAATGGATGGACATGGTCAGCAACAATACTCAGGTAGGCTGTGGCATTGACACAATGCTAAGTTGGTACTAATGGGCCCAAAGTGTCCCAGCAAAATATCTCCCACACCATTGCACCTCCACCACCAGTCTGAACCGTTGATACAAGGTAGGATGGATCCATGCTTTCATGTTGTTGATGCCAAATTCTGACCCTACCATCCGAATGTCGCAGCAGAAATCGAGACTCATCAGACCAGCAACGTTTTTCCAATCTTCTATTGTCAAATTTTAGTGAGCCTGTGTGAATTGTAGCCTCAGTTTCCTGTTCTTAGCTGACAGGATTGGCACCTGGTGAGGTCGTCTACTGCTGTAGACCATCCACCTCAAGGTTTGATGTGTTGTGTGTTCAGAGATGCTCTTCTGCATTCCTCAGTTGTGGTTATTTGAGTTACTGTTGCTGTTCTATCATCTCAAACCAGTCTGGCCATTCTCCTCTGATCTCTGGCATCGACATGGCATTTGTGCCCACAGRACTGCCACTCACTGGATGTTTTTTCTTTTTCGGACCAWYCTCTGTAAACCCTAGAGATGGTTGTGGGTGAAAATCCCAGTAGATCAGCAGTTTCTGAAATACTCAGACCAGTCTGTCTGGCACCAACAACCATGCCACGTTCAAAGKCACTTAAATCACCTTTCTTCCGATTCTGATGCTCGGTTTGAACTGCAGCAGATCGTCTTGGCCATGGCAGCAACTCAATGCATTTAGGCATGTAGACATGGCCAAGACGCTCAGTTTGAACTGCAGCAGATCGTCTTGGCCATGTCTACATGCCTAAATGCATTGAGTTGCTGCCATGCGATTGGCTCATTTGACATTTGCATTAATGRGCAGTTGGACAGGTGTGCCTAATAAAGTGGCTGGTGAGTGTATATATATTTAGACTTTGCCTATTGTGGTTTTTTTGTATAGCACAGCAGACTTTCACACTGTTATCTCTGCCTCTCCACTGCTGACAGTCCAGTTGGCTGCACACCCCGCCCCCCAGCCTTGATGTATTGTGTGAGAGTACAACAAATGTTTTGTGAAAATTACAGATTTCTGAGAGTCAAGATGTAGGTAAAAGTCCACAGTGGTTGGCATCTAAGTGCTTTTGTTTTTAAGACACGATGTGAGTTTTTTAAGCTAATCAGATCTGAGCAGAGCAGAGCAACGTGTGTATTAACTTCTSCACCTTTCGTTCTCTTTCCTCAACGAGGTGAACTACCTACTCCTCTATTTAGACTATAATGAATATATCAACACAAATTTAGATTGTTCGTTCTTGTTTATATTCTCTGTGCTGTTTGTATTGCAAAGGCACCACAGAAGCCCAAACTGACCCGACCATCAGGCATACAATTTTGGCCCAACCTGACCCAAATTTTGGGTCCGTTTTGGGCTTTAAATCGAACCTCTAACCCTCAGTTTCAGCAAGTTTCACTTCAACACGGAGGTTAAAAGGCTCGGTGCGATCTGAATGATCTAATTTTTTGTTCTTAGCTGCAAGTTTTTTGTCATTATCCTGCTGGAGTATCTTTCTGACACTGGGCAGCAAATCTCATTCCAGCATGCCTTGATGGTCTTGAGATTTCATTGTACCCTGCACAGATGCTAATTAAAGAAAACCCTTTGGTTTAACATGTCCCTTTGGTTCAAWTATTTCAAATCTTTTCTAAAGGCACAATCTTTTATTTGTCAAGGACAGTTTGATTAGTTTTTTTAACAATTATTTTGAACTAAAAAAAATTTCAGAAACAACTGAATGACTCAGCAGTTTTGTTTGTCTTTTACAAATTTGCCAACAACTATATATATGTGTTTTGTTGGCACAATTGACCCTTTGCAACTACAGTACATCACCTAATCAAGTGGAGGCACCATGACAGACATCGGAAGTGAGGGAGGGGAGTATTGAATGGAGCGACWGCTGTTGTATTCTTTCAGACAGCACAAACTTGTGGAAAATTAGAGCAACATGAAGCGAGTAAAAAAAATAAAAGAAAAAAATGTCAACATGTTCAGAATAAAAAATAAACATAAAGTTCACGTTTGTTCATCAACTGATTCAGAAATCAGCCGTCATTTATTATGTTGAAAATATTTGTTTTCTTAGATTGCTTGCAGGATTGTGTGTGGGAGTGTGTGTGTGTGTGTGTGTGTGGGGGGGGGGGGTGTTATTGTGAGGACCCATTGTCTACCCACTCTGTTTTTAACTATCTGAACAGGTATGCCTGTGCACAGGTTGTTTTGACGTCCGACATGGCGGCGTGGGCCTTCTGAAGAGCATGACGTCACACACTAAGGGTCAATACACATAATTTTATTAAGGATTAAGCTGCCAAAGCACACACAGAAACKGAATATACAGAAAATTAATTATGTCATTAAAACTGTTTTGGAGCTAAGAAACAAAAAAGCCTGTTTAAGAACTAAAATAATGCTAACTTCATTCTCTATTTCTGTTCAAAGTTTTGAAATTGCATTACAACTAAATTAACCATGTTCAAGTTGCAGGTAGGAAAACTGAAACTGGGAATTTYCTAACAGCTGTGTGTGAGGCAGACGTACTGGGTTTGGTGAGAAACTTCAAACTTTGGAAATCTAAACGCAATAAAAAATGCAAGATAAAGTTCTTCTCAGAAAAGAATTAGAGACAAGTTCCAGAAACTCGTGACAATACTTATTCTATTTATATTCTTTGAGTTTAAAAATTTGAAAACTACAAGACAACTTTGGTGACCTATAAAACCAAACTGTGACTGACTGCAGACAAAAAAAAGAATTAATTTTCACCAGATCGATAGCCTACATTGTAAGATAATAAATAAATCTGCAGAAATTTTGTGTGAACATAGCAATGTTTTCCCAGAGTTGYATGAGCATGCAGAAGTTACACAAGTGTCATTTCAATTTCCAGAAGAAAATTTGTGTATTTTTCTCAATTTTTGGTGGAATCTGTTAAGTGCTTTTGAAAACCTGATAACAAAATCATCTTTATTACTCCAGAATAAAAATAATGGTGTACTAACTTTGACCTGTAACTGTATATACATGATCCATCACATCAAATCGGGGATTAAGTCACTTTAGTCAAACTTAACCAAGCATATTTCAGGATCTCTAGCTTTTTAACTTATATTTTGATACCTAGATGGTCGTGATATGGTTGGTTTTATTTGTCTTGCTGATCTGGAATAGCCCTTGAAAATCAGTCTGAAATCTGTTTTTGGTTAATTCTAAGGACAAWTTATTTTCATCATTTAAAACTGGAAACATCAAACCATATTTAGATATCAGGATTTCCCAGCTGGTATTGAAAATAGCTTTACCAGCATGCAGGAAATTAGAAACACTTTAGGGCTTCTCTGGTCAAAATCATCATTAGTTGTTGGTATGGCTCAGAAAAGTACTTCAAAATACTCTTTACGATTATAGTTCAGACATTTCCTTCAATCGGCCCACAGATAAGGATGAAATTCTTCAACCAATGAACTAAAGCTGCCTACATCTTACTAAACTGCCTTGCCATGTGTCACATATGYAAAACAATGAAGAACCCACCCACAACAGAAAAACATGTAATAAATCCTCTTTAAACTCCGCCCCTTGCATCTCCTGCACCTCCTCCTCACCTGAGTCCAGTTGAGGGAGATCCTGGGCTGTGAGCAGCCAGACCATGAGGGTTAGAAAAGTTCTGTTGCTCCTCCTCTGACACCATCAAAGCACACAAAACACACAACCACAGAAACATCACTTCACAGCTCAACAGGTAAAATCCACAGTTAAAAGCTGCTGCTCATACTCAGGTTACAGAAAGAGTGAGGCGCAGAAGCAGACTGAAAAAAAAACATTTATAAAACAGAAAGACAACGATGAGTACGGCAAACTACTGTACACTGTTTTAGCTGATTTTAGGAAAAAAATCTAGATTTTCTGATCTTTTAGGCAGCTGCAGTATTATGTGCTGTGACAAGCCAGTCCACAACTCTGATGTGCTTAAAAAAAATCCTGTAAGTAAAAAATAATAATCATGACTCAGTTATCTCATAATTATGGCCTATTAACACCTTCACACGTTTGGAACTTCTACGTAGAAAATTCCTGAAGAAAAAAAAAGCAAAAGCAAATTGCAGAGTTTATTTGTGATTTTTGCAAATTTGAGGAGTTTCCATGAATTTTTTATTTTTTTTACTAACGGTCCTGTCACACTATAATCCTTTAAACAACTTATGTCGACCTATAAAAGATTGCTTATAACTACATTACTCACATACGTTTTATTTTGGATCTAATCATTATTACAGTGTGCAGTAGTGGGCAGGGTTAGTGCAACTAAATATTAGTTGCACTAACCCTAAAGCACTAAGTCAAATATTTAGGTCCCCTAATTCTAAAGCATTAAACGCACTGAAAATTTTAGGAAAAGCTAATTCTAAAGCACTAATATAACCCAGYTGATTCATAGAACATTCTTCAGAGTCAATATGAGACAATATTTACTGTGTGCAGAATGTTGCCACTTAGTGCCCTTGGCGCGCCAAATGGGAGACACCCACAGGCCACATTTGGCCTTGGGCCTTGAGTTTGACACGTGATCTTGTAGATAAGAGACACGCCATCCATCCGTCCATTTTCTTCTGCTTATCCGGGATCAGGTCGCRGGGGAAGCAGCCTAAGCAGAGAGATCCAGACTTCCCTCTCCCCAGCCACTTGGGCCTGTTCTTCTGGGGGAATCCCAAAGCGTTCCCAGGCCAGCTGAGAAACATAGGCTATGTTCACACTGCAGGTCTTAATGCTCAGTTCCGATTTTTTTGAAAAAATCAGATCTTTTTGTGTGAACGTTC